CGTGGCAAGGAGCCCCAGGTACGCCTGTCGTTGGTAAAAGCCTCGAGCATCTAACAGGTAACAGGTTTAGCTCGGTTCCGCCTCCAATTTTGATGGACAGCACCTCGGGGGGGGGAAGAGTCCGAGGGTCTCCAACCCCTCTTCCCCTCCACCAAACCACACCAGATGACTTTCGGCTCGCCGCATATTTAGGGTGCCGCCATGCCGCATCGACGCTATACATTTACAAACATCCATCCCTTCTCTGGGATTCGAACCCGGCTCCTTCAGAAAGGCAGTCAGCGAAGCTAACCGCTATACCGATTGGGCGGCTACAACTCCATCGTTATAGGTAACAACTTCGTCTCAATTTTCAAAGAGAATTTCCTGGGGATCCGAAGATTTCCCATCTCCATTCATAAACCTCTTGAGAGGAATTTTGAGTCGATGATATTTTAAGAGCGCATCTGGTTTGCAAATACAGTACACGTATACGAGCATCCATGCCTTCTCCGGGATTCGAATTGGGACTCAAGGCTAGGGAAGCTGACTCTCATACTAGCATGCTAGATAGGCTGGATCTTCTATGTGTTGCACAACAATAGCACGTGGAAGGAATGCATTTCATCCGTTACAGCTGTAAGTATTGAAAATGCACGTTAAATCCCCTAAATATAATATAAAGCAAAACCAGGTAGTATCACCGAGAGGATGCACAGCAGAAGTATAATTAAAAATTGAAGCTTGAAAAACAAACATATTTTTGGAAATCATTTACAAAGCACATCGCTCTGTCGAATGCAAATTTGCAAATTAATTTAATCTTTTTGCGTTTTATTTTCTGAAAAGAATATTGCATTTTACCGTATTTTTTCATCTTTTTTTCTTGAATGCATTTGCTTAAAAAAAGACGAGGCGGAGTTCTTTAATCTTGTTTATTCACAGACGAAATTTGACAAAAGAAGATAGTGGAAGGAAAAAAGTTATCTGATTTTGCACATTCATTGTTAAACTAGCGTAAGAATTTCGCAAGGCAACGTGAAACTGGCCATATACCTGGTTTTCTTTGTCACACAAATTTTTTAATTTAATTCTATGAAAGATAAATCAAGGAACTGTAAATTAGTTCTCTTTTGTATGAAAGGTTTTACGAAAACACTGCTTGCTTCTGAATGTTATGTCTTGCGCCATTATAATATGGAAAAAAGGCAGGCTTAGACGACAACGCCAATTTTTTTTTTAAGTTTGTTTAGATTGCACAAAGCACTGAAAAGCGGAAGAAATAGTATCGATAAATCCTCAATTGTTATTAAAGTGAGAGAACATTAGCATATGAAATACCTTTTCCAAAAGTTTAACCGAAGTGTTTGAGCCTACGGCTCTTCAGAATTACAAATTTACATAGCAATTTAAGCAAGTGACGTTCCATTCACCATTGAAGTATTTACACATAATTCGAAATTCCTATTTCAGGAAAGATTTTTCAAAGAACTTCTTTGAAGCAAGTTTCTATTTTAATGAAAGTTATTAAACTTTAAGATTGTAGAATTGTAGATACTTTTCTTCTCGTTAAGCTTTCTTTTCAACCAGTGGAATTCAATTTCGAATTCAAAGAAGAATGAGAATTAGAGTAAGTGCAGTATAGGATTTTTTGAAGAAAATAGTGCCAAAGATATTGAAATAATATGTTAAGCATTATAAAAATAAATGTTGCGTTGCAGAGTCATTAGGTTATTTTGAAGCAGGAAGACGCGAAAAATGTGCAATATCCTCCCCGGTACTCGAACCTGGACCTCTCAATACGCGCCGAGTGTGCTACCATTACACCACGAAGGCATGCAGAAAGGAGAGAGAAAATACTTTATAGTATCATAATATATATTTTATCTATTTTCAGTTTTCAAATTATTATTATATGCAACTTTTTAATGTATTAAGGTGTAAAAGTAATTTTCATTTTCCTCATCTGACTGAGCAATTACCATTAAATTATTATTTTGTCAAAAATTTAAACTTAAAACTTCATTGGCAGAATTACCTACGCAAATGCATGAAACTTTAAGCTACATGAATCATCTGATAAGTAAGCTCCAGCAAAATTTAACTTTATTTGCAAACTTGGCTTTTTGAATTCTTGACTAAATAAATCTCCTTTATCTCAGATTCTTTACTTTTATTTATAGCAGTATTTAGAATTTTTCATACACTAAAAGCCCTTTAAAACATTTGATATGCTACGAGAGACTGGGATGTTCCCACATTTAGCTTATACTTCATATCCATTTGATAGCTATTAGCTAAGTTTTCATTATTTATCAAATATGCACAATTAACTAGATAGAAAAAAAAAATAATGACTGATACTCCAAGATTATGTTATAAAAACTAAAATTAAAACTAAGAATTTTGCATCTTGAAATTGTCCAAACGCGCAATAAATATTTACACTGACAACAACTACCAGTTACTGTTTAGCTGGTTAATTCCTAGGTTAGTGCTCCATATTTTAACGATCCACTTGTCAAGTTGATATAAACCGTTCTTACTCGTGAATCGGCAAACTCTAGATAGAGAGGTAGCGTTAATGGCAGAAATAGTTACTCAGTCAAAATCCTCTACGTCAGGAGTTCTTCACCTGCAGTGCCAATACCTTAACAGTTATCTTAACATATACGAGGCGCACCAACGACCGAGCGGTAAAACGATGAACATTTGGCAGGTGACTCGGATTAGAATACCGACGAACGGACTGGCTGCATGGCTTTCCTCATGTGTAACGCGATAACGAGCTAGTTCCATTTAAAATGTATCCACGAAGGCATCTCTCCCGATGGGAAGATAGCCATCGAGTTGCTTTACTTTAATTAATTAACCTAACCTAAGTGATACGACAAAGAAGAACATCAGCAAGTTTTGGAAGTACTGCATTGTGCTTGTAAAGTGCTTTTGTTCTTCCTTTACACCAATCTTGCATCTGTTGGAAAGCTTAGAGGTGTTTTCAGAGAACGAAAAATCATGGGAGTGTTTAAAAATGAATCATGGCGGTTGTTCATAAAATACATCTCAAACTATACGGTTTCATATTTCTTGTCCTAAATAAAGATTATGAAATACACGATGTTTGTGAAGCAAATTAAAATTTAGTGAACAGATTTGCAGTTAAAGTCAGTATAGTCAAATCAGTTTTAATAAATCCGCTTCGTTGACTGATTTAAATATGAAGGTTATCATCAGAAATTAAAAGATGTGAAAGAAGACATGACTAGCGGGGAAAGGGACTTTTGATGCAGTTTTGTAAAAATCTGACTGAAAATTATGTCTAAACTACTAGTGCATGAGAACTGTTCTGTTTGTGTGTGTGTGGGGAGAAGAACTTAACCTTATTTTATTTTATTTATTATTATTATTACGAATTCAATTATTTTACATTTTTTTAGAAGGAGAGTAAGGTTTAAACCAAGGAAAGAGGAGAACAATAAAGACCTCCTTGATTTATAAAGTCTTAGGATGTTATAAGAAATTATATGCAACATTTTTAGAATGCATACTTAAATGACAAATAGCACAGAAATATTAGAAGTAATTTGCGATTATCGATGAAAAATACGCAAAAGCCAGTAACTATGTTTGAATGTCTTTAAGACAATGATCCGAATAAGCTGTTTCGTCAAGCCCTAATTGTGCATCTTTAATAAAATTTGGGGACAATATAAAATTTGTTTTACCCTTTACCTTTTTGTGAGTTCTCCTATGTAGCTTCTATTTCTTCCATCTGTGTTCGCTACAATGTAAATTAACTTGGGTTTAACGAGTTAAATTATAATTTAGAGAGAGTATTACGACAACATTCAGCAGCTTGTGAAACTGAGAAGAACATCGTCATCTTGCCGACCAGTAAACCTTTCGTAATCTATCACCCTTTCGTATATGGCTTTGTATTTATTAAACATTTAATTTGGGATGTTATTTTCGGGAGCTGAGCCATTAAATGAAAATTCAGCTGCTTATTTTACTGCTTTAAATAGTACTTGAATTCTTAAAACCTGACAAGAAGCGTAGTTATTGTTAATTTTAAGTTGCAAAGACTATTTGGTTTTTTTGGAGAAGAGAACGTCAAAAATGTGCCTTTGCTGGGATTCAAAATTCTTTCTTTCCACATGTAATATGGAAGTACTAGCTATTTACGTTACAATAGCATATATGAGGAAGACAGATAGTTCTTTACAAGGTTATACTACAAGATGTAGTTTTATTAAACATCTTTTAATTAAGTCTTATCTCTCATATGTGTTACAAAAGATTAATTAGATTTCTGCTTAGCTATGAAGATGATGATTCATGGAGCAAGAAAGATTAAGTTCGATTAGATAGCTAATTAAGCTTAACCTTACAACCTCAACTTAATATATTAAATATTTTGTATAAAAGAATATGAAAATACGGAATTTGGACCCGTGTTTCATGTATATTTATTATTTAATACATTAAGGCAAAGCACCCGAATGCTACCTGCGTAAAAGGGGGCTTTTACTTACGTTTCAGTTAGAGATAACCGCAGAAACGTCCATGCAGCCATTTATGGGATTCGAGTCCGGGTCGAAAAAACAGTAATTAGTTGTCTTATTCACTTGGCCCCCATGGATTTTTTCATGTAGAGGAGATTATTTAGAGCTACTGTTGTTTATTCAAAAATGAAGCAAATTCTTACATATTTTGATAAAAATTGTGTGTAAGCAAATAATGTGGCTGTTTAAAATTCCCTGTAATCCAAACTGATTTTTGATTATCAAGTCAAGCACTTCAGGTGCTTTTTTTTTAAATATAGACAAAAACGGCATTAAATCGGCAGCTGAATTTTACTAAAAATATCTGAATAATAATAGATGTTATCGTGATATAAGTTGTTCAGAATATATGCATCATTTTTATCGATGTTATTAGCATTTTTGTATGAAACGAATATTTATCAAAGAAGTAAAACATATATTAAGATTATAAGGTGTTTTCCCCGGCCTCCGCATGCCTTCGTGGTGTAATTGGAAGCATACTCGATGCTTATTTGAGAGGCCCAGGGTTCGAGTCCCGGCGAGGGCATTGCACATTTTTCACGTCTGCCACTTTAAAAATAAATCTAACAACTCTTTGAAGCGGGAGACTAGAAAAATGAGTAACGCTGTCTCCAAGAATCGAACCTGGACCTCTCGAATACGCACCGAGTGTGCTACCGTTACATCACGATAGCGGGAAGGAGGGAGAAAAAACCTTAAAGAATAACTGGCCCTTGAGTAGAGGTTACATTAACTACGAAATACCTGATTAATGTGTAAATGCATATTGAATTTCCTTTTGAAACTTCGAACTGATTGCTGTCACATTTATAAAGAGGCTTAACTACGACTACGGATTAAAGCCAACTCCTTCTCTTCAGAGGACAGGTGTTCTACCAACTGAGATGTTCAGAATCATTGAAAAGATTATTATAATTTCTCCTTGATAATGAAAATGAGGTCATTTCATCAACTACTAACGTGACTGGCTTAGAATATCACACATTGTTTAACACATATAAGGCATCCTTGGAAAAAATAACTGCCAACATTAAATCTTCAGGATAATGTTATCTTTTAATTTCTTCAATTTTCGAATTTGATCATGCAGACTCTGTTAGTAAGCCCAGCACTGGTAGTTCCTTTGACTCAAGTATCAGAATGACTTGACTGCCTATATTTTTTACAGTTTTTCTGAATCATGAACACTAGCGAAATTCTCTTACAAAGTTCTTTCCTCAGGCAGATTACCCTTTCGTGTTTTGTATTAATCAGTTAGCCAACCAATAAAGCTTGATCATAGTCCCACCAGTGGCAGAGCGATAAAGTTATTAACATTGATATTTGGATCAGGGCTCGAACTTGGAAAACGGACCAGCTGCACGGAATGTTTCGTGGTTTTCTTTCCACGTGTGATTTGGATACAAATCAGTTTACTTTAAAAGACCTTCCATGAAAGCATCCATTCCCATAGGCAGATGCTATGGGTTGTTTACCCTAATCAATTAATCAAACATTATCATTCTCTATTTATCGTAAAAAGCAGGTCATTTTAATCTATAGAAAACGCCAAAGCACTTTAATCTGTATAAAACGAGAGATTAAGGAAGTGCATATTTTTGCCACTATATTTGTGATATGTGAACTTTTCCTGTCAATTTAACATATTCTTTTAGTACGTAATTTGCCACATATTTTCTACTCCTACAAAACGGTACAAAATGCAAATCTAGTAACATTCTTACATAAAATAAGTAAAAAAAAAATCATTGTCCTATGTAGGGATGAACCTGATTTTCAATAAAAAATTTTTAATATTTGGTTTCAAATTAGTCGAGTTTAACCTTAAGCCTTAGCCATTTTTTTTAAAGAAGATTGGCAACCGCGCTGCAATCCCTTTCCACGGTGTATGTTTCGATAGCTAAAAAGCATAAAAAACTCGCAGAACTACATTTGTTGTTATTTTTAGTCGCGTCCCCTTTAAGTTTTAGAAACTGCGCAGGAATGTAAACATGATCGGCTTCACTACCCAATCGAAGTAATTACAATAAATAAATAATTAAAAATATTGTATATATATAAAAAAATTATTTACATTACAAGTTCAAAGAAGAGGACTTTGATTCACTTCAACATATATGTAAATTTAACTTACAGACAAAAATAAATTGTATGTAAAAGTCTATCTGTTATATTTTTGAAAATACTTGCTTATCTTTTTTCTTTTCAAAATTCAGAAAACAAATACAGGGTTTGTCTCTGATACTCATATTTATAATTGGCGAATTAAGCAAGCCCGTACAAGCATAAGTGGTACAGGTTTGTGCCACCCTTGCAAAGTTTTCCTAAATGTCTGGACAAGAGTTGCTACTGGGTGCATGCGCGCAATGCGTTGCTACTCTTATCAAATATGCGAGTTTTTACACGTTGCAAATATCATGATCACAAAGCGAATAGGTACCTTCTTACAGAAGCATATGAAATATCTTTAATTAATATATAATTAGTTAATTTATATGCATATTACATAAGTAAGCATTATGTAAGTAAATAAATAAAATCTGTGTTAAGCGCATTTTGGTATTTACAAAACGAATGAAGTTTGGTGATAATCTGTTAAATGTGATCCCGTATTGTGGACACTTATTTACATATTATGCACCCCAAAGTTTTTCTTTCGTTGACATGGACCTCGTGCAGGTCGCAGGGGAAATGTAGGGACCACTTTGGGAACCTGAACTTTTGGAAACTTGGTTTAGCCGAAAGACTGAACCAAGTTTTGTCAGATTATTCTAGACAGAAATCCTTCAACTTTCTCATCAAACTTTTCGTTTCAATAAAGTCGCGGCAAGGAGTCCATTGGGCAAAAGCTTTTTTTTAATACATTTTTTTTTCAAAATGTGTACCTGATCACACCGTCGTAGCTTAAGATATTTTTTCTCACGTTATTCGATGACCTTTTTTCTTTTTTAGCCCGTTTACAAATGTCCTTTTTAACATGCCCACATTTCCTTTTTAAATCGATATTTTTGCTTTTCCTGGCCTTCAGTAATCGTTAATATCCAACACGCTCTTCACATAAATAGGCAGCTCAACTTAGACTCTATTGCGATTTGCTGCAAACTTCATGCAATACACTGTGAAATTCTATTTCGTAAGAGGATGAGGGAGGAATAAGGAGGATGGAGAGAGAAGATGAAGGAGGAATGAGGAGGATGGAGAGAGAAGACGAAAGAAGAAAAGACTGTTTTGGAAGTTCAAATCATTTTTAAGATTTGCGGATTCTGAGGATTTCAACATTTCATCTTAAAAAAAAAAAAAAAAATGTAACCTGCTCAGAAAAATAAAATGTAAACGTAAGGCTACGATTTGATCTCAGTATTTTGGCCCTCGAGCTAATCGTTAAAGAGAATTATTATTTTATGTAAACATCTAAAAAAGCATTAACTTATTTAAAAACAATATTACTTTCTCGAAAAAGAATATAAGAGCCAGTTTCTTTTAAAAAGTCTTTCAGGAGGCCTCTCTTCCTTTCGGCAGACAGTCTTCATGTGCTTTGCTAAATTCAAACAAACATTTTCGAATAACAATTTATTCGTACTGCGCATGTCCGTTTTAACTTATTTTATTCTTTCCAAAGATGCGAGCATAAGTTTAAAATAAAGAAGAATCTCTGGATCTGTTTTCCAAATTAGCGCATTTATTTAACTTTTTACTTTAAAAACTTTTTACGTTGTTGTATCTGAAAGACTACTAACAATTCCTTCTTTTGGTTTCAGTATACTTTTGCGAAAACTATTCACCAATGATAAAAAGGGGGAAGACAAAAGAAGGAAGGCAAATGAAAATGATTGGTTTTCTAACTGAAAATGGAATGTTTAATTACATCGTACAATAGTTTCAAATTTGTATATTGTAGAAACAAATTTCCCTGAATGTACAGCAGAAGAAATAAAAGTTATTTAAATTTCTATGTGACCACATCAAATACACACACAAAAAAGCCAAATTCTCAGTTTTTTGCCTCACAGGGTGCTAATATGTGAATTATTAATTTAAAGTCCTATTAGACAGCCATTAATCGAAAAATGTACGACAAAAAAAAGGTTTTAGATGATAAACCTTTTTAAGTTTGAATTTAACAAAAGGCATAATTTGCATGTACAAAGAAGACTCCGCCCTCTGCCAGTATTAAAATAACATGAAGTTGAATTTGCCATATAAAAACGCATCGTGGCCAGAGATTACACAAATTTAGTGTAAATAAGCTGCCTTAAACATTAAGAATGCTTTATAATTCCGACTAGCAAATGGCTGATGCCGAAATATTAATTGACAGAGATGGGGGATAGAAAGTAAAGCTGCGAGGGTCGCTGCCAAAAGCTGTATCTCTAAAATATTCAAAACCCTTACCTTAAATACTCTTTAATCTTATCTGTATTCTAGTAAGGGTTAACGAAAATAAGGTATACTGATTTATTTAAAAGCATTAAATACTGGCTGTGCGATTACATCCACAACCAAAGATATACTATTGAATATAGAAGAATGTTGCGCACAATGGAGAATCTCTGCCAGGGGCGGAAGGGGTTTTCAACTATTCTTTGAAATTTCCAGAAACACCACCTGATACGGATGGTTTAAAACGGATGAAAAGTTAATCATAATTGTAGGATTCATGCAGCAAAAAATAATAAAACTCGTTGGGAGAAAATTGTAACTGGCATCCCCCGAGAGAAAAAAGATAAACTAATGGTAAACGTACAAAACCCATCGTCTTAATCTCGTCGCCATTAGCTCATCGGCAATGCATAACTATTAGATCTGACATATTTATTCCATAGCACAAATGCAATGAATTTTTATGCCTAAACACCCCTACGATTTCATAATGTAATGCGCTATAATAAAGATACAGGCATCTTTATGCAAGTCAATGACTATTCGACAAAACAAAGACCTTTACATGGGCTTCCTAGTATATTGAGGAAGGTTGCATTCTCCGTGATATATGATGAACTTCATAATGTGCTTTTGTATCTTGATGAACAATGGCCAATTTGCAAAAGGTTCTGACATATTTTTGCAAATTTGCCTCGCCGGCCAGACCATTCCCATCCACCCTTGATCTCCACTATGCAACAAAATAAAGCTCCTATTAGTGCGACGAACAAAGGACGAAGAATATTCATTTACAACCCTTTATCTTTTCGGGCTACAAGTGCCAAGAATAGTAAATGTCACTTATCTGGCTGTCCTCTTGAACCAGAGACTTACTTCGATATTCGCATATAAAATATACTACAAGACGACTACAAGTGCAGCTCTAGTAATAAGAAATCTGGACTAAGCCTCTATAGGAAAAGGCAGATATATATCTCCATAAGACCAATTATGTGTCACCAGCCTGCGCTGCTGTCACAAAGATTGACTTGAATAGACACCAGATTGTGTAAAATAAACACCAAGGACAATTACTGGGGCGAATTTATATGTTATATTTATATGTCGTAGAATCAAAATCGCACACAAATGCATTAAAAGTGA